ATTCGCATACAGCCTTCCAGATGAAGTAGTGAGGGCACAACAGCCAACTGCCGTCATGATGGAACTAGGCTGGCTTGTAAAAAGGGCTACGCAATGATGCAGCTGCCTGTGACTGTAGAGGACTGGATGCTTTCTCCCATAGAAATAGATTATCCCAACCAATCCTATGTTCCTGTTTCAGACCAGTTCTCTGTCAGCATTTAACAAGTAGAACAGACCATCCGAGACAGTTCCAACCTGTTCAGATGTTATTCTGCTTCTGCCTACAGGTTATTGTATGTTCAGCTGGAAACCTGAGCATTTTGAACTCCTGAACCACCATCTGCTCAATCTATACAGTCTGTTTATCAAAGGGTTTAAGTGCACTGTAAGGTCCAAACCATTTTATGGAGCCCTGCCAGCTGAAATGAAATATTAGTTGCTGTATATTTTGAAAAACTGTTGCTTTGTAGGCCAAAAGAGCTTGGAGATCCCAGCTGGTAATCAAAGAGCAGTGTCACATTTTTCATGGTTAGGGGCTCCATTGGTCTCCAGATTCTTTAGAAACCTAACTGATGAATTAGCCAATCAAATTTAGATCTGAATTAAATCCAAAATGCCATCACTGAAGACCTGTATCACCAACAATAACAACCACTGCAAAAAGTCAAGCCTTGTGAAAATAAACACACAAAACATCTATGCAGGCTGTTTAGCGTCATGTTCAATAAATCCCTCCTTAGAAAACAAAAGCTAAACACAGGTGTGATCCTGCAAGCACTTCTTCCTAGGTAGAGATGTCCTAATCTGTTACCATTAAGATCAGAAAGGGTTTGCTATTGATTTCTATGGGTTAAATGCTAGGGCTCCTCTCATTCCCCCCAGTCCACAGGGCAGATCACTGTGGACAGGAGAGAAAGCAGGCTTTAGGAGGCTTCAGTCCTTGGTCCCATAATGCAATTAGTGACATTTAAGTCTGATTCTGCACCTTACTTGGTGTTCTGGCTAATCCAGTTAAGGCTACGCTCTGAGATACTGTGTGCTACTGGAATGGATTGCTGAGCCTTAAACCTGACCTAGCGTCAAGTGAGGAACTTACTCTTTTAGACCTTTTATCGCTCTGTATCTTGTGCTGGCAGTGTGGCAGCAGTGGCTTTCACCAGCTCCGCACTCATGGGAGCCATGTGCAGCTGGTCTGAGGATGGGTCAGGTATGCACGATTCAAGAGCCAGAACAAGGCAGCGGTGAACACCATGTAGCTGAGGCAGTGCCTTTGGAAGCTGCTTTCTCCAGCATCTTCCTAGTTTCATGGGCCACATGTCCTAAAGTAGGCATCTTATGGTGGGTCCTGGGAGTGAGGATTGGAGTAAACAAAGGAATTTGTAGATCTCTCCTTTTCCTATGTGCTGCTTCTCGCAATGAACTTCTGAGCTAGCCAGAAGCGTGTGATGTCTGCTGCTGTGCTTAGCCCTGCTGACCGGAAAGTAACTCCTGGTACTTGGCAGGACCCTCTGCAAAATCAGGCCCTGGGGTTTGGAAAGAGGGGGAAGGGAAAGCAGGATTACTCCTGAGACGAGCTTTTAGCATGCAGCTGTCCTAGCTGAGACACTTGCCAGCCTTCTAAAATAAACCCACTCAAGCCACTCTTTTCTGATCAAAGAATGAAGTGGCTTAAGCTGGATAAAGCCTGTGTTGGTGACAGACTTCACTGCTAGGGCCAGCTCGTGCGTTTCCTTCATTTAGCAATGGCTTTTAAGGATTTTGATTTAATTCTTTGGGTCTTAAACATAAGCAGAAAATTCTTATAGTTAATCGTACATTTTTCTTTTAATTATGGAGTTTGGCAGCTTTAAAATAGAATACCATCTCTGCAGTGTTTCCTGTAAAATGTTATATTAAAATGTATTGTTCTATCTTGCATTCCTTTTTTCCTGCAGCTGAGTTTAACACAGGGTAGCTGAAGAGACCACAACAGAGAGCAGTTTGCTCGTTACTTTTCAAGGAGAAATTGTTTTGAGTGAATGTATAACCTCCAGAGCCCCAGAACACATCTGATTTCCCCTCACCTCTGCTGTGACTTATCCCATGACATGGGACTATTGATAATATATGTATCTTCTTACTGTACTGCTCAGTACATTCTCCTGTAGGTAGATCTGGTTAGAAAGCACTTGAAGTTTCCTTACACATCTCCACTTCCCCAAGGGATCAATGTCTTGATGGATCACATTCAAACACATTCAACATCTCACGGAGGGTGTGTGAAAGGACAACAGAATCACTTTCACTCTATCCATATCCATTTCCTACTGCACTCCCTCTCTTACAACTATTGGCATGCCCGGAGGGAACAGTGCTTCTCAAGGTCACAGGAGGTGGAAAATAGCCACTGTCAAGGTAGAGAAACTTTTCAATCGGGATAGCAAAAGCATGACCTTTTTCTAACTCCAAGGAGAAGTTAGTGGGATTTGTTGGTGGTGGCAGTGTGTGTGTGTGTACAGTGGGGTTGTGGTGGGTTGGAGATTTTTTAGCCTTGGCAAATAAGGTTAAGTGCTTATTTTTAAAAAGGTGATAGTAATCTTTGCATCTTCAGGGTAAAAATAATTTTCTAAGTTTCTTGACTTTGCATTACAGGAACAAAGGAGAACATGATTCCAGTGTTACCGCATTTCACCCTCGCTTACAGCAGGATCTGTACATGTACCTTATAAAAGTGCAGTGCAGTTTTATGCACTGTACACTTGCTTTTTCAACTAAGTAGAGTTGTTTCACCGATATTAAAAAGGAGATTCTGACAGATCATAGCCTGGGAGTGTCCAGCAGTTAACAGTCACTTGTAAGATGAGTTTTTACTGTGACTCTTGTGGGGGTGGGAATTAAACCTGAATCTTCCACATCTGAGATGAGAGCCCGAGCCATTCGGTTTCAGAGAAAGAAAGGAAGAAGTACATCGCTTCCGCACAGCCTGAAGACAGAACGTCAAGTCCCTGTGAACCTATCCTAGCAGAATCTCTCCCAAATCAAAATGATGTATTTTGGAACTGCCAAAAGGAATGTTTGTCAGTGTTAATGCTATTCACTTCAGTTATGTGCGTTTGAGAGTGAATACAGACAAGGCAAGTGCATGCAGCATCCCATGAGGCATCCAATTACCGCTGGAACTTTCTATGACAGATTTTTCTAGATTTTTTTTAATAGAAAACATGATTTATGGAATTTTCTGAGAGGAAATTTCATTATTGTCACAAAAATATTCATCCTCCATTGGGGAAAGCAAATGAAGTATTTTGTTTCCACTTGGACTTCTTGAGTTTGTGGTTTTTAGAACCAAATTATGTTTTGGGTCCCGTTGACATGTAATCTGTTTCTACCCTGACTGCCAGGTTGTCTTATGGGAGTTGTAGTTTTCTAGTGCTGCATGTACCAGAGCACCAAACTTCATCATTAAGCCAAGCTTAATCTTCCACAATCTCTAGCTGAACTAGTGCTTGTATTACAGGAACCTGCTGACTGTCAGCTGAGTAAGGGGGATCTTTAACTCAAATCTAGTGTCCATATGCCAGAAAGGCTGTACTAAACAGGGAACAGCTGATTTTGCTCTGCAAAGACCCGCAGATTTCATAGCCTTGTAAAAGCAGGAATCAGACGTATATTTTAATGAAATTTAATGAATTCAGTATTGGACTGCCAGCAAGGGAGGGAAGTAGAGATGATAGGAACTGAAGTGAGGTATTTATTCATTTCTTTGCAGAATTTATTGGATCAAAACCAAGAAATATTTAAGCTGAGCTTTTCAAAGGGCTGTAGGTTCCCAGCTCCCACTGACAGTCAGGAGCTGTGGGGCACACTCTCTCTTGATTTTTCTGGAAAATCTAAATGGTCTCAATGGATGTTTTTTCCCTACTCTTTTTTTGTCCTTGAAGTGCTGTGAAACATGTGTAGTGCTCGTACGTGATGGGTAAATCTTTGTTCCCTGAGAAAAGTGGTTTAGATAATGTATAGCATCATGCATAACATGCTTAAAGTGCCAGTCCTAGAGCATCTCAGATGATTCCTTAACTTTAGAAACTTGCCAGATAGGGATGTGTATTTTCCTCATTTTACAAACTGGAAAACCAAGAGACAGAATAAACGATATGTAATCACACAACTGGATCAGAAAGATACTCTGTATTTCCCAATAGATTTATTTTTTCATGTGTTCTGTTAGCATTGGCTCAAATTTATTTTATAGCAATGATAGCGTTGCCATTAGCGCATGACTTGGTTGGTGGTAGGTTCCATACACATTAATAAAGAAGTGGTGTTTGTGTGAAGGCTTTATAGCCTGAAAAGATCACTGCATACTGTATGTGAGGAGAGCTGCTTAAAATCAGCCTACCTCTTCTTGTGTGGAAGGTGACATTTCAACACATATGGCTTTGCCCAACTTACACTTTTTTTTTTTTCACTTTGCAAGTGATATTTTGTAAATATTTGTCAATTTGCCAATGTTTTTGCCTCTTGCAGCCTTGAACAAAGCTTGTTACTGTTAGTGAACATATCTGCCTTTCTTGGCATCTTTCCATTTCATTCTTAGGATTCCATATGTTTTTAACATGCTAAAAATAAATTCTTCTTATTGCTGTTAATTCTGCTGACCCTTATATCCTTTTAGCTCTCTTATCAGTTTTCTACAATTCTTAGTTTCTCATTTTTATCTGTAGTTTTCAATTCTCTTCCTCTTTCCACCCCTGTTTGTTATCTATTTTATTTATACATAGTTAGCATTGATAAATAGCTGCTTTTCCTTCCCCCTCCATTTTACCCACTGGCTCCTTCTTTCCTAATTGTGTCCTTCTGCACTAATTAGTAATGCTCTCGGTATCAGTCACAACTTTCTGTTTACATTCTTTGTACTAGTGTAAGTGGCGAGGTTATTTTAGCCAATAACTGTGCAAAAGCAGCCAGATCCAGAGCAAGTGAAGGGCCAGGACAGAGAGAAACCTAAAGACGTCCTTTACATTTGAGTCAACTCTTACTCCGTCCAAATGCCCTAGGATGGTGACCGACAAATTTCCACTTGTCCTTAGGATGACTGAGGTAGATATAAATAAACCACAACATGCGACCTAGTAAGGAGTGTGAGGGGTTGAAATCCCATCCCAAATAATCAATCCCACTGCAATTTCCTAAGTAAGATTGGAGAAGGGGTAAGAGTCAGATGTACTGAGCAGCAATGATTAGCCTCATTTACCCTGAATTGCCTAGGAACAGCAAGGTTGTATAATTGTATAAGTGACCAGTTGAGCAAAAAAGTTGGAGGGACGAGATGGAATGAAGGTCTGGGTTTGCTTCTAGGTGATAAAAAGCAGTTGGCCAGGAACTGCAACTCTAGAGTTTCTGTGCAAATTGCTACTAGTTCATCGCCTGCTCAGTGCAGAAATTTTGTGAATGGAAGGGACAGCTCCTTGCTCAGGAATTTACAATTTTTTTCATTTTCTGCCATATTCTTGCAAGAGCCGTTGTTTTTCATTCTCAAATGGAGACCTGCGTGTTTCTGTGTTGAATTCTTGCAAGCAGAATTAAGAGCACTATTAGGTTAGACCAAGACTAAGAGAAGCAGGGTAACCCCAGCCTGATCTCTAGGACACTGCTGGCTCACCTTGTGGAAAAGTAACGTATGCTTTGGCTTGAGAAACAGGCTAACGTTCGGGGACCTGGCAGCAGAGTAGCAGGTGTGTTGCTCGCTGCAAATGAGTTCCCCTGGCAGCGCTATGTGGGGATGTGTGCCTACTGCTGATCAGTACTTTGCCTGGCTTGAGCTCATTCTATCAGTCTTTGCTTTTCTGAGCACTTAAAATCAATATAAATTAATAAAAAGCAACGCAACAGCCCATAAACAACATTAGCTATGGAGCTGTTAAAATGCAAGCAGTCAAACTATATTTAATCCACTTTCTCACATTAATGCTGTGCAAGGGTGCATATTTAAAATGCTACTATTAGATTAGTAACAGATGTTGCTCAAAGGAAACAATAAATGATCCTTATGGAGAGTTATTTTGGAGGAGGCTTCTTTGGGGCCATCTGAAGAAGTCAACTGGGCCTTATGTGTGCACCAACTGCTCAGTGCAGGGCGACTCTGAACTGTGTGCACAGTCAGGCCTGACTCCTGCAACCAAGAGTCCTCCTTTGGCGAGACACAGCAGGACCAGCTGCTGAGAGCAGGGCAGCTGAGCCACGCAGGTGCTCAGACCAGCACTGTGCTGGCACCTGGCTGTTCGGGCCACCTTTCAAGCTGTCAAAAACCGGACTGAGTTTCATTATTGCTCTGAGATCTATTTGTTCCCAATTCAGCCCCTGTTTGGCTTCAAGATAGCATCTTTGTAGTTGTCTGAAGTTCACTGGAGATGTCCATGCTTCTGATAAAATAACAATGTTTAATACTAAAGGATATATCCATGTCCTTTGGGAAGTGTATCCTCTTGTAGGGTTCATTTCAGTACAGTACCTACCTCCAGTGTTACACTTCTTCCTTGCTTTCTGTCAACAACAGACTTGTCTGGTCTGACATAATTGTCCAGTTTTAATTATTTTATGAGTTCTGGCATAATCTAGCATGGTGCTGAAGTATCTCCTTTCTACTTCATTTCTGTAGAGATATGGAATGATCCCCTCTCCAGTAATAAAGCTCAGCCCAGTCACTCAAGTTCCAGGGAGCTTCTGAAAGCACAAGTCTCTCCATGCCTCAGCTGCAGCACCCAAAACGTAAGTAAAAACATGTGCTTCCTTTGCGACACACAGAAGAAGTGCTACATTTTGGTATAGACAGAGTGGAGCATCCGCCCTGCAGCCTCGGTGTCACAGGGCTGGAGATGGTAAGGGGAAAGGGGAAGGAAGGATATGGCTATACTTCATACACTTCTGTGGAGAGCTTCCACGAGCACTTAACTTTGATGTAGGATGCTCACAACCTTGCTACCACGTCCTACTTCAACCCTAGTGTCTCAAAGGAACCTGAAACCAGCATCTTGGCTGCTTAGCACCTCCCTGCACAGAAGAGCTGTGTAGAGAACAGGGAGAAGCTGAGAACACCTATTAGGACAGCAGGTTTGAGGCTTTCTTTCGGTTGAAGCAGAGACCAGACTTTCTCCTCAACAGCCTACATTTCAGGAAAACATCCTTCCTTCTGCCTCAAGTAGACAGGCACATGCCTATTTAGACCTCTCTTCTTTCTCTAATATATGTGTGTGGGGGGGTTACATACATATATATATATATCTGTATACCATAACCAGCCACCACTCTTCCTATTGTAATGTTTTTTAAACATTTGTGATTATACAGCATCTTGTAAAGAATTAGGAAGTTCATAATTATTTATAAAGTTAATACTTATAATGAAATGGTTGCACTTTGATGTCTGTATATGTTTTCTAAGCTAGGATGACCTATATTGTAGAGGTATTATGTATACTAGGTGATGCAGGGATCGGCTTGGGAATTACCCATGTTTAATGAACACTAAAATTAGAATTTGACTGAAATCCACATAAATGGCTCGACAGCAAGTTCGACTGCCCCTGGGGAGCTGTGGGCAGCTCAAATTTACCCACAGGCATTTTTGAAAATGTTTTTTTTGAATCAGCATAGTGTGCTTTTTGGAGCAGAGAGTGCAGCTTGCACTTTAAACTCCTTCTCTTCACCTTGTCGCCCATTTTGGTGTTGAAAAGCCCTCCACGGAGAATAGACCATAAAGTATGTTGCAGGTATAATATATGCTACACTGATGCTTTTTTCCAGTACTTGCCATGGGAAGTCTTCTGCTTTCCCCACTCGGTGGCCTCGTTGCTTGGACTCTTGCTATTTTGAATTTCCAAATATTTGGTCTCTTCTGTAGGTATGTGTACTTTGGATAGTGTGAAACCTGGTCTAGCTGTTTTATATCTTACTGTCCACCACGCTGCAACACTAAAAGCATGCAACCACAGTGAATCCTAGCTTTCAGAGATGAGGATTTTTTTTTGTTTTCATGTTAGAGGCTTGTTCTCTAACTCTGGGGAAAGATGAATCTACTTGCTGTGCCTTTCTTTTTACCATAGGAAAGGGCTTAATTATCTTTTAGGAGGCCTGTTTATATCATGACTGTTAGTTTCCAGTCACTGAAGGAAAAAAGATTCCAGAAAGAATAACGTACAGTACTTCCCACTTTGCGCAGGCCTGGGAAAAAAGGCAAGTCTTACTTGCCTTGCATCAACCCAAACTGGAGTCAAGAAATACCTTATTTTTATTCGGGGAGAATGAGCAGAAACAGGCAGTCCTTTGCTCCTTTTGCTTTGTCCCAGCAGCTAACTGGTGACAGTAAGCTGTGCTATGGGCATGTCTTTGGGGCGTCTGGGTTGTAAGTGACAGGACAACAGACCCCTTGGCTTTTGCTGCAGAGCCAAGCAGAAGTGGTTAGAGCTCATGGCCTGTTTAATTCACAGTCCAGTTATGCAAGTGGAAAATTATTGCAATTATAATTGTCGCCCACAGTCAGTGTGAGAATTCTTCATTAGATTCAAGGAGAAAATTGCTAATTTAAGAAGCCAGTGTTCTTCCAGAGAAAACCTTCAGGAAAATGAATATCCCAAACCTCAAGGGGAATACATCATTTTATTGGTGGGTTCATCTGTAGGATTTTGGTTTGTCTTAAAAGGCATATATCTCCTTTTAGGATGTACCTTTAAGGAAGCTCTAGGTAAAATGGAAAATGATAACACTGGTTTTGAGCTGTTTTATTGAGGTTTGTGACATGACATGGCTGTAAAGAAGTCAGTCCACTAGTGCCTTGTTAATTGGCATACTCTGGATTCATTTTTTTGCAGCTTTATGCCTTTCCCTTCCCTTCCCCCCAATTTTGTCTTGCCTCATAGCTGTAGGATGTTGGCTTAGCTGGAAACAGGCAAGCATTTTTATTTCTTTTGACTGCTTCTGCAAAGCTTGATGGGGAATTTACATAATCAATGAGGTAACCCTGTCACCCCAAACATGGAGTCTTTAAAGAGAATAGTTTTATGCAAATTAGATATTGATGGTGTAATGATTAATTGGCCCCAAGCCTTTGTTAATATGCAATTGTTGTAGTGTAATTATTGTAGTGCATTTGTAATTATTTTGGTTTGGTTGTTCAAACAAGTGGTGGGCACTTAATTGCTTGCAGCAATTGAAGAGACAGAATATCAGAGAGAAAAACAAATGGCTGGTTAATGTGTTATCTAATATAATGTTAGATTTCCTTTGTGTATATTGTGTTACAACAGTCAGATTCTTAGGTGATAAAAATCAGTGCAACTCTCTTGGAGGATATAGAACTATTCTGACTTCCAGCAGCTGAGGATGCGACTTGAAGTGTTCCCTGTCAGATTTCAGTGCTGTATTTGGTGTTGATCATCTGGGAGTTAGGATGGTGAGCTGTGTTGTTTATTGCTGTTGGTCATTATTATTAAAAAGAAACCACTTTGTTCCAAAGGTTGCAATGAGTTAAAAGTATGAATTAGTGAGAAGCTGCTTGGAAGACTGTTACAGGCAAACAAATAAGTATCTGAGCTACTGAGCTACTGTGCTACTGAGTACATTCTCCAAGGCGCTTATCTGCTCTGTGCGGCTTTCCAGCTAGTTTGATATCTGTTTTCCATTCTTTTGCCTCTAGATCTGCATTTAGCAGACAGGGGGAAAAGCCTGTGTATTTGGAGGTGAAGAATCCTACATCTCCATAAATGTACTTAAGCTTTTGACTGTGTCAGTTTTCTGTAGCATATGAATTTACTACATTTTCGCTTAGAGAATACTTTTACTTTAAGTGAACACAGTGAAGACAAAATGAAGTTTGTCTACTAGAACAAAGATAATTTGGACAGAATAGCAGAGGGATCCACTGAGGAGCAGTGGACAAAAAGGAAGCAGCTGAGTATTATTAAGATCTTCTAAAAATCAACTCTGTTAATAATTATATATAAAAATATGAACTCTGTACATAATAATGTAATTATAATTGTATTATGTAATTATTATACCTACGTAGCAATAGGGTATGAGGATAGAAGCTAAAATATAGAATAGAGAAAAGAATGAGAGTGGGTAGA